GAGAGCGACAGGTAGCTGTGAAGTGCATCCAAATTCTCCGTGAATTCAGACAGATTTCCTCCTAAAGTCCGCAGCATGTGATGGTAGCCGGAGCGTTTGCAAAACTCAAAGAAATACTCTCCGAACTGCCTCAAGACTACCTCTGGTTTTACTCCTGAAAGTAAATCAATCAATAAATAAATATGTATGACTGGAATTTTCAATTTCATATATTGAAACAACTCGTGAGGAAAGACACCTAGAAGCTTGCAGGCCTCTGCCACTAAGTGCAAAGTGATTTCATCTTCGTAGACTTCATGTGTCAGGAAGGTGTCCTGGACTCCAGCTTCATCCCTGTGTATGATGATGATGATGATTTTGGGAAGACAATATGTTTATTTCCTGATATGTTTTAAGAATGTAACAGAAATGTGTTTCTGCTGTAAAAATTCATTAATAAAGCAAACAGATTTTGAAAAATTCAACTCTCTCAAAGGGAAATTTTTCTTTTACCTGAGCTTGACCCACGCCTCCTCGCCAAACTTTTCCACTACCAGCGATTTCAAACAGGCATTAATAAATCCATACTGTCAGGAATACAACAAACAAATCAGGCCAGCTGAGAAACTAAGATAATAAAAGATAGCATACCATGAAAAGCAGCATACCATGTCTCTGTGCAGTTTGTCCACCAGCAGCTTTCCCCTTCAGGATTATCGTCACACCGCTCTCACCACACCCAGTCTCTTCTCTCATAAAATAACCAACAAGAAAATCCAGCCTGTTTAAGAGACTTCCCAGTCTCATCTCCACAAAGGAGTTGTCCAGTCCAGCCTGGTGCTAACAACCCCCCCTGGGGTCTGGGTGACATACAGCCTCTTATAAATAACACTTTGATAACAGGGACTCGAAAATCACTTTAACTCATAACTGAGAATGAGTTACAATTGTAGCAGCCAAATTTCTCTTTTTTACCCATTTTAGGAGGGTTAAAACATGTTTTCATATTGTCACATCTAAGTAATTTTGATTCATATATTTGTATATGTGTGCAGATAAACAATTCTTTGTATTTGGACCACCTTAATCAATAACAACTAGAGGGCACTGTTATTTACATTGCTGATAATGAAGGAAATCATAACAGAATTTAATTTGGATTGAAAAAAGGGAAACAGAAACAGATATTTAAATGGTCCTTTAATGCAATGGTATAATGATTCACACAATTTTGGGAAAAAGTAATCAGGAATGGAGAATTTATTTGATGGATGTTGTGATTTCACTGAAGTCGGACACCAGCGTCAAACGCAGGAAGGACAAGTCTTTGGAAGAGGAGCACCTCAAGCACATGAGGGTTTGAGGAAACTTTCAGTATCCAGGCCCCACCCCCACAAAAAAATCTCAACAACCAAAACCATGTACTGGACCAATACTGCACAAACATAAAAACATAAACGTGTCTTCACTAAGATCCAGTTTACTCCTGATTGTAAAAAGAAATCCCCTCACATTTGGGCCATTTCTAGAAATGATCATGGACTTTACAACTTCATAGAAAATATAAAAGTGTAACTTTTACATACACAAATTGCAGGATTTAAAACAGATGTAGAGAGACTTCAATGGTCTCTACGTGCATGAAAACAGATAAGAGGAAAATGTTGGGGGTAAAATGCTCCGTGAACCAAGACACTGTCTCTTTAATAGTACTTTTAAATAATAAATCAAGTACCATTTAAAGCCCAGTTTTCTTTAAAATATTCTCAACATATTGTCAGACAGTAATATGAGAAATTATTAAGAAAAAACAACAAAGCTTTTAAACAAGTCAGTTAGTGTTGATCATCAGCGACAGCTAAAATCTGACTCATACCAGTCTTTTCAAATATTCTAGTAAAAACATATTAAAGAATTTCAGGTCATATGCTCTTGAACCTGCTCATCAAACAGACGCTTGGTAAACACAGGCTGGTTCTTCGTGTTCATCTAGTGTTTTTCAGCCAGTGTCTGTTTTGAAGTTGAAGTAATTGCTGAGGGGAGGTAAATAGCACCAACAAGAGTGACCTAAAGTGTGGGCAAGTGTCAGGTCCGTAATGAGGTCTGCAGAGCCTTCATGTCCCTCAGGAGCCTCAGATTCATCTTGCTTCTGTCTCCTGGTCTAGCCTTGACTGCTGCCGCAGAGTGACCTCTGGTGGACACTGTGGTAGACACCCTCAGCTCGTTCCCATTGCTCTGCCTGCAATTGGCTTCTTTTCTTAACTTTTTTATCTGGCAGAGAGACAGGAAAAGATAAGAGACACAAGCTTTAACAAATTATAATAATAATAAAAAATAAATAACAAGAAAGAAAACTAGTGACTGCATATGTGAAAACACACCTGCGACTTGTGCTTGTACAGCTTACTGATCTGCTCTCCTTTCCTCTCCATTTTCAACAACAGCCTCTCCTGCACCCTCCGAAGTTCCTTTCTTTCCTGTTCAAACACACAATCCTCCACCTGCCTCATTAACTCATCATGCTCCCTGCAACACACACGCAGAAACACACTGAAAAAACCCCCCAAAGTACTTTTGATAATCGTCGTCTGTGACTTGCCTTGTGTCGAGATCAAATGAAATACTGCTCACAAGCTCATGAGTCGCAGCTCCTCCTGCAGGGCTTGCAGCAGCTCCGATAATTCCTCCCCGCTAGCCGAAGAGGAAGAAGAGGAACTGTCTGAATGCCGGTGGCCGTCTGTGCCGGAGCCGTTCGTGTTGCGTGAGAGGACGCGGCTGTTGCAGAGGTGGGGCTGGTGTCGCTTCAGGAGAGACAAAACTGACTGGACGTTGGCTCTGACCGAGTGGCTACAGCCTACTGACTAAACGTCAGAGAGAAAGAGAGCGAGTCAGCGTAAGGGAAGTGCATGTTAAATATGGTAGACCATTGTATTCCATCACACGGGCATGTCTTTTTATACCGTTCCAGCAACAAAGGGTACATCTCTCAGGCTCAGTCTATAATGTGGCTCTGTGTGGGAATATTGCTGCGATGATTTCTGGAAAGGAAATGGAAATAAAACTAGGGAAGATGGAATTTGGATTGATGTTTTTATCTGGTTTCCCTGATGAACATGTTTAACCTTTTTAATAAAATCTACACTTGTGAGCAAAACTGTCTCTTCTACCATCTACTTATAAAGAAGGAACCTTAGCAGTCTCAAACAGAAGTAAAACCATGAGCTGAGCATGTGAAGGTCTTAACCTTTGTATTGGACTTCTTCTCTTTGGGCTTCTTGGCGGATCGGCACGGTGACACAGACTGCAGCAGGATCCTACTGGCGTCCAACCCCGTCTGTAGCTGAGCATTGGAAAGAAGAAAGTATGTAAAGTGAGTAACAGAGAGAGCAAAGATGAAAATTATAATTCATGTCTCATTACTTGGTTGGCCTTGTCTTGGATGAGCTTTCTTTGGTACTCCTCTTCCTGTAGTTTCATCTCCAACTCAAGGATCTTCATCTGAAGACAAACAAACCCATCATACGATGAATATATCAAAACACTAACTTTTACTTGTTACCACTTTTAAGTCCAGTAAAAATAGAAAATACTGACAAATAAAGAACAAACCTGAAAATAATTCTTAGCTTCTTAATGTGCAGATTAATCCAGGTCCATGACAGCATACAGAATTTTAAATTCTGAGCTCCCCTTAAGAACCAGTATTCTTTTTGTCTTGTTCTGGTCTGTTTAAAGACTTCTTGTAAACTCTTCTGAACATTTATCTGTTTTCTTTAATATGAGCTGTGGGAAATTCAACTGAAAATTACACTAAAACTGTTGTTCAGTAATCTTAGAAAAGACACCACCAGGTGATGAATAGCTTGAGATGCTTTAAAGTCCTATTTCTGGCATGAAAAAACAACCTATTTTAGTGATTACCGTAATTGTCGGGCTATAAGCCGCTACTTTTTGCACAAGCTTTGAACCCTGCGGCTTTTAGTCAGGTGCGGCTTTTCTATGGATTGTCCATGATTTTTGTCATATCGTAAGACGATTTGTTTTGTTTGTTCCGCTGTTGTACGGCACTACGTTGCCTGGCGGAAGGGCATGTGATCAGACACACAGTATCGGGGTTCAAGAGTGGTATGTTGGTCACATGTCCATCCGCCAGGCAACATAGTGCCGTACAAGTAGCGCGAAAAACAAACTTCAAAGTAGCGCTACGCGTTCAGCGGGAGTCGTGGATGATGTGCGGCGATAAACTTGCGAAAAGCAAGTTATGCCCAACTCCACCGGTGGAATCTGACAGCGTGGAAAAGTGTGAAAACATCCATGATCACCAACGGATTTCGAAGGGCTGGACTGCTGCATGATGGAGAGGAGGACACCGCCACGGCCCTTCTGAGGGTGTTCGACTCTGACACTGACAACGAGGATTTCTTTGGTTTTGAAAGTGACAACGAAGGAAAGAAGCTGAGAGTGGATGACGAAGCCACCCTGAGCCTGTTCGTTTCCGACACTGGAGAAGAGGACTTTGGTGGTTTTAGTGCGCAGGAAGATGGTGGTGAATGACTGACTTTTCTTCTTGTTAAAGCCGTGTCACTGCACCTGAGCCTAAAAGGTAGTCTGAATCTATTTTTCTGGTGTGCTGTAGGTTATTGTTATGTACTACATTTGTTACTCATTTATGAAGCACAGTACATGTTTCGTACT